AGTGACTGACAAATGAAGGCGATCAGATTTCCTGGGATCCCCTCCCAGCCAAAGCCTGACCTTGAGAGCCTCCTCAAAGCAGCCACTACATCTGTGCATTCCAGATGCAACTGTTCCAGCAACAGAGAATTATCAGGGCACTGTTTAAAGAAACCCAAGGGCTCAGACTAATCTCTAAACAGAACTTAAACAGGCTGAAACACCAGCATTTCTGAGCAGCTTTATTAAACAAATGCACAGATGGCTAACTTTCCTGCAACTCTGACCTTGAAAACAAAACTCATTCCAGGCTTATTTACCCCTCCCTTTCCCAGTGAGTGAATGCACTTATGTGGTGGGTGGTGAAATTATAAATTCTTTGGGGCACCGTCTCAGTATCTCTAAATGCTGGAAGTAAGTTCTTACTCTGTAAAATCAACAGGGTTATGGAGTATTTGAGCTGACTGTACTTACCCTGTTTGAAATCAAGAATGAGCTACAGCATTTACTATAAAAGCATGATGTTTACATTGTTTGGGGTTTTTTTGCTGCAACTGAGAGCTCTGCCACCGATCTATGGAGTGACCTCAGACATCCCCCTTTACTGAGACTGCTGCTCTTCAGGGAGAGAGCCATTTCGTACCCTCTCACGCAGAGGCCACCAGGATTCAGGTTACACTCTTTAAATACCGCTATAGCGCAAGTCGCTGATCATTCAGTAACATGGGAAGACTCAAGCTGCAGAGACACAGTCCTTTTCCTTAATCTGTTCTGACTCATCACTTCTTCAGGGTAAGCAGTGGAAGGTAGAAAGTCAAATTCAGTCTCAGCACAAGGATCTAAAGGACTTCATAAATCTGAGTAACACGTTTCATAGGGATATTAGTGAAAATGAAATGCATTATTGCAAGAACTTTCTGCCAGTGAATAAAAGCAAGTGCAGAGCCCATATAGTTGGGGCCAGGGAGGGGGTGTGGGAAGGGAAGAGTGTCCAGAATAGCCTCAGAGAACAAATTTCATCCCAAGGAACAGGAAAGGATACACACATCCGTAAAGTCACCTCTTCTCCACCTTGATATCACAGTTCTTTTCAGCAAATAATTAGGTTGATGAGCTAATTCCGTTACCATCTATCATAGTGATTAATATTGCCCGACCATCTCTTTGCAGTGCTCTCTACCATCTACCTACTGCCTTCCATTTTGTTGATTGATGGCTCTTTGGGTCAGAGACTGTCTTTAGGGTTATGTTTGTGCCATGGGCCTGTGGTTCAGGATGAGGCACTATGGGAATAGCTCGTCCTGCCTGACTCCCCATGGGGTTCAGTGCATGGCACCAGGTTCCCGTGCTTCCTTCTCCTTCTGCAAAATGACCAGAAAACCTTCTTGTGCAGGAGGAGCTGTGCAAGGACTAGGCATCGCTTAGTAACAGTTACTCATGACCATGTTCATTCCTTATGAGCCACACAAGAAAAGGAGAGAGAGAGCATGATGTGTCCTACCAGGACAAAATAACTATCCCTGATCAGATATTTGGGAACTCTCAGCAGTCTCTGATGAGCCCTATGGCTATATCTAAGATGAAAAAGAGTCCTACCAATCATATTTATGAACATCTTTTACAAGCAAGTGTTCCAGACTTTTTGACAGAAGAAGAGAGAAATAAAAACTGACACGTCTAGAGTTTTGATTTAAATAGGATGACTTACTCAGCAAATACTCTAAGAAAGAAAGAAACACTTCTAAGCTACTGTGATCATTTAAACTGCAATCAAGATACTAAAATATCGGTTCGAAAAGTGTCTTAGTG